TGACGAAAGTTCACCACTACTGTGACGAAAATTCGCCTCATGCAACGAAATTTTTCGTGTGTGTGACGAAAATTCACACTTTGGTGACGACAGTTCCCGAGGAGTACCTCCCCCCAAGGAACTTTCGTCATGTATGACAAAAGTGCGTTCGTCATAATGACGAAAGTGTGGTGTGACGAAAGTTCCATAATCCCTTTACAATGACCCTGAATGAAAAAGTGAAATTTTTACCATCAATGCATTTCCATACAGTCTATCAAGTAATGAAAGAAAAGCCGAAAACAAATGTGAATCTTTCTTCCTACAGTTCAAACTTGTGGAGAGACGTGGTCTGTGAGGCAATAAAGATGTCCATATTGGTGATATATTGAAAAAAGGGTGAGGGTGAGGGTGTTTTACAATTAACAATAAATCGAAGAAGAAGAGAAGTAAAGCGGAAAGATAACGAAAAGGAAAGGAAAAGCTTACCAAGTTTCTTTTGAAAAGTTGGTTTTTTGATCTTTTAATTTTTTTGTGTACTAACAGGAGTACGAAAGGTGAAATAAAGCGCGAGAAATAATAAGAGAATGTTGCTTGAATAAATAATAACGAAAAGAGATCTTTTGAAATTTTAGTTTTATTTTATATATAAAAAATATATGTACTTTGTAAAAACGACGACGAATATTTAATAAAAGGAAAAACAGAAACATTTCAAATGAAAAAGTCCAAAAAAGTTGGAATTTTCGGTTTCGGTATGGATACCGAGGTCGAGCATACCTAGTCCAGGAACAGTACTTTCCACTAGAAGAGATTAGATTCATAACCAAATGTTAAACTGCATGGGACATTCGGTAAGTAAATCAACCTTTCAAAAAGTTCCTTTCACGTATTTTCTACTGAAATCAAAACTTCTGCGAAAGAAGCTCTTTGCTTAGAAAATAATTTTTGATCAAAACAGCGTCGTCTTCGTCTGACTTTCGAGATATACCTGCCATACCGCCTGTACGTCCTGAATGGACTACTCTTTATTGCTCTAAATTGGCCACCGTAGTTTCCTCCATAAGCTCCTTGATTTTCACCACCGTAACCATAAGCCTGCACTTGTTGCTGTTGCTGACTATAATTATTATAGTTTCCAAAGGCGCCAACAGAGGTTGCTGATAATTCTAGTCCACTACCACTGCGTTTCAAATTATCGGAACTATTACTTTGTGAAAGACGACGTTCAATCTTTTCACCAATTCTTGATACTTGATCAAATGTTTTATTAGTTAGATTGTTCATTTGAAGTTGTTTGGTGACCTTGTTATAGATGCGTGTTAGCTAGAGAATGAGTAATTACGATATATTATTCTTTGGTGTGGGTAGAATGAGAAATAGACACAGGTAGCTTTCGCCCAATATGGATCAAGGATAATGATTGATTCACTTGTCACATTTACTCACATTTCAACAAATTGTTCTTACGAAATGGTGCAAGAGGTATTTTTTAAAACACCTTGAACCAAATTTCGCACGAAGAAAGGATTTTCAAGGAAAAGTGCGGGTACGAAAGTTGTTCAGAAGCAGATTCACTGGAATATGAACGAAGGATTTTTCAAAATTCATTGAACTCCATTTTTAAATTGAAAAATACGGTTTTAAAAATTTAATAAAATTTAATTTAAAAGTCCGATTTAACGAATTTTGAAAAAGCCTTCTTTCATATTTCAGTGAATCTGATTCTGAACAACTTTCGTACCCGCACTTTCCCTTGAAAGTGCTTCCTTTGAGCGAAATTTGGTTCAGGGTATTGTGAAAATATTTTCGCTTAACTAAAAATCAGAGAAATTTTTTAGTTTTGAATTTTTTTGCTAAGTTTTTCCAGTTTGTAGAGGACACTTCGAAGTATATGTTCTGAAGTCTTTTCGGCTTACGGACATTGTTTGGCTAAGAAAAAAATTAATTATTTAGAAAATATTGTTAAATTTTTGAGCACGTAACTGTTATAAAAAAATTCTAATGAATGAATTGGATTCTGAAATTTTTAAGCCACCCAGTCTTGTAGCTCGTGAAAGTCTTTGTCAGATGAGGTATAGCTGAAATTCTGACATTTTTTTATAATGACCTTTTCGGAGTTCGACATTTAGAGTGAGTTCGGGTTTGAGTTCAGAAAGTTCGAGTTCAAGTTTGGGCTTCGATCTCCTACTAAACTAAAACGCACTATTGTTAAGATTGAACATTCAACTCTTACATATATCACCTATAACTTTCCATGAGTTGAAAAAATGTGTCTCTCTTTCCTCGAACAACAAAAATTCTTAGAATAATTACATATGGTTTAACTGAATATCTGCGGCTTATTTGTTCACATTTACTTTTATTCTTAAGTATCAAAACAAAATCTTACTAACACAAGACAAAAAAGGTTGTTTTCTTAACGTAGTAAAAGTGTTTTGATAACAACTGTGTTGTTCTCCATTATGTTTATTATATCTTGTCTTTGAGAAATACACACATGGCTAAATTGGTTGAGTGTAATTGGGGTCGTTCTTTTCTCCCAACGTATGCTGATACACTAAAAGCACTCTCATATGTAGGGAGGACGACTCATGATGTATGAGAACGCTCATACTCGGTATAGATAGATACTTCCGTGCCATATTTACCATTATCGGTATTTGATTACAATTCCTTCTCCAGAATGATAAGGCATTTTTATCATACGTCTCATCTGATACTGTTTTCGCTGCCAGTTGTCGGTATATTTTAATTTCATCTTGAACTGACGATGGCTTAACTTTGCTTGTTGTTCCATTAGCTTCTTTACCAACGGATTCAAGAAACTGTTCGGATGTGAATAGAGAAGATTTTGCTTTTCGATCTTTTGTTTTGTAGGTTGTTGATGAGGAAAGTGTAGAATTTATTGGTGGTTGTTGTGCATTGATGTACGGTGCACCTTTATAAATTTCTTTTATTTGTCGTTCGATCGATGCACGTTCGTTGTTTGTTAATACAGAAAAGCCGATCGGATCGAAATAGCCATATAACTAAACACAACAGAAATAAATTACATTTCAAAGTAATCTTACAGTCTATTGATGAAACCGTTTGAGATATTGGCGTGTGCTATATTAGTACGGAATAGATCTTCAAAACGAAACAAAAGTCCAGAGGAATATTTCTATTCTTACTTAGAGCACTGTACTAGTCATAAGCTGAACAGTCGTTTCTGTGACTTACTTTTAGTTTTTGAAATTGATCACTATCATAGGTAACATATTGTTTAATTTTTTTTAACAATGAATGTTTTAATTGTTGTGTTAGTTCTTCTTCATTCTCCTCATTTTGAAGAAAAGCTTGAAGGTGTCTAATTGCAAACAATGTTAATCCAATTGTAGGCTATTTGGATATTTTGATGTAAAGATATTGTTTTTAAAAAATGATAAGTCGAATTCCAACGATGCTTGATATCGATCGCTAAACTACCTTTGACTTTGTTAACTTGTCGATCGTTTAATTCATTTTTTATTCGATTGATTTCAGTTGTCAATATTGTTGAAGATCTAATGATTTTGACCAATCCTCTGCATTGCGATAATGTTTTACCAACTATTGCTCCATTTTCACCAACCGATCGATTGTCAACATCTTCGATAAGTCCCACCGTAAAATTATCTTCATATAATTCTTCGTCTGATTCTTCCAACTCTCGATTTTCATCCGAATCGTCATCCATATTCTCGTCCTCGCCATGTTCTTCCTAAAAAAAATAGGGCACATACAAATTTCTTAATCGGCAAGAATGAGACTTTACCTGATTTTCATTTGATTGTTGGCTAGACAATACTGATCGCATATCGTCGTCAATTCTTATGTTAACCATATTCTGGCTTAATCTTTCATCTTCCTCATCATCTGAACTTCCATTCTTCTCCTGCTCCTCAATATCTTCATCGTTGATAACAATTTTTGGTGCCACCCATAGGCCGAGACCATTACATACTATCAAATGAATTTTATGAGCAAGACAATGGATGCGTTCAATATTATTACGAGAGAATTCCCGAAATGCAGCTTGTAAGTTCGCAACACCATCACACATGATTGCTGTTATTTTATCAAATATGTTAAGCTCTCGAACTTGTTTTTCAAGTTCTCGACCAATATTAGACGAAAAATGGCGACTATCGAATATTAAGAATTGTATGTGTTTAAACTATACATAAAATAGAGTTAAGATGCACCCAGGGCAGCCTTGCAGTGAAATTTATTTTTCGACACTTCATACACCATTCGATAGAGAATTTCGCGGTGATCACGAATATCACTTCCAAGGCTCTCAGAACCCTTTCCTCACTG